CAAAACGGAGGATGTTTGTGTAGGATACCTAATAAGCAAATGCAAAAATACTTGGCAAACGATGTTAGGAATTGTTTGTTAATCATCACTATTAGATTAGACAATAGGCTCATAAACATGAGACCTAACAGTTAAATGGAAGAGGTAAGAGGAAGTAGAAAGGAAAATTATCCAAGGCCCCTTAGAGTTTTGAGAATTTATTTTAAATCCAAAACCTATGAAAGAATATTTCTACATGAAATCTATTTAATAGAAAGAGTTTCCTTTTGACCCACTAAACTAGAAAAGTTACTGTTAGGCCCAAGTTCTGTTTAAAGAGAGATAGAAATAAATTTCAGAACACCCCCTAGAAACTAGAAATATTAATTTTATACCCAAAATAGTTTGAGTATGGAATATTTAGTTTTTATGCATCTTGTATGGTTATTGGTTTGATCGAGGAATAGGTTCTTGGAGTACGGTTCTCTAAATTGTTACAAGATCTTTCAAGGTGAGTAGATTTCTTCTCATTAGTTATTTTCTATTATATATTATTTAAATGATAATTTTATTTTTGTGTAGAGAAACTAGGGATCAGACATGTTATTCTATTCATTTATAGTATGTGTTAGGAAATTTGAATGTGATAGCTATTTATCTTTTACAAGATAAATATTGGTTTGTATATGAGATTATTGAAAATATATCATTTCAAATTTACTGTTCAAATGCATTATTTGAAGAGTTCTATTAAAAAATTATTTATTCGTTTAAATTCATGAATATTCTATTTTCATGAAATTAATATGAGAAAAATTTGCAAAAGTGTTTAAGCATTTATATTGCTTTTTGTACAAGTGGAAATTGTGAGCGACATTGTGAACAAAAGAAAAATATTTTAAATGTTAAAAATTGTAGGCTGTTAAAAAATCACAATAGATAGCTGATCCCCATCAAAACATCAATGATGGAAGTTACACTCTGACGACTTCCAGAAGGTTACAATTTGAAGACTTTCACGTAGACTGATGAAGGTTACAATCTGACGATCTTCGCAACAACTGATGAAAGCTCTAATCAACAGCCTTCACAATCAACATCGAGAGTTACAATCTGACGACTCTCACATATCAAAGAGCTAAAGCCTATCCGCTGCCAAACGCAGCTCTTAAATGCTGCAAACACAGCTTCCATCCGCTACCAAACGCAGCTTTCAAGCCGCCAAATGCAGCTTCCATCCGCTGCCAAATGCAGCTTCCAAGCCGCCAAACGCAGCTTTCATCCACTGCCAAACGCAGCTTCCAATCCGCCAAACGCAGCTTCCATCCGCTGCCAAACGCAGCTTCCAAGCCGCCAAACGCAGCTTCCAACAAGATGCCAACGCAGCTTCCAAATTGCTGCGTCTGAGCTTCCATCCGCTGCCAAACGCAGCTTCCAAGCCACCAAACGCAGCTTCCAACAAGATGCCAACGCAGCTTCCAAATTACTGCGTCTGAGCTTCCAAACACTGCGTTTGAACGCAGAATTCACATCAGAATACTGATTTTGCGTTTGACTCGTTCAAACACGAGCTGAACGGTTTCAAAACCGTTTCCCACGATCCGAGGGGATCACAACTCCACTCAGGAGTGATTTAAGGGGCGGTTATATCTCATTAGCCCCACTTAGGAGATAATTAAGGAGGTGGTTACACCCCTTAATCCCCTATAAATAACTAAAAATCAATTCAGTTCAGGGTTCGGTCTGCTAGATCTTTCATCCTTCTTTTTGGCAGCAAAGAAGAGATCCTTGGCTGGTCTAACCAATTACGGTTAAGATCAATTAACTCATCAAGAGTTCTAAAACTTGTCACACAAGTTCTCCACAACGTTAAATCGTGAGGAGAAGATCATGTTCCAGTGAAACAAGACGTCGGATCGTCAACGAGAAGCAAACTCGACGCGAGCAATCGAGGGAGGCATCTCATCGTCACCGTGAAGAACCCAGAATTAAACAAAAAGCAAACTCGACGCGAGCAATCGAGGGAGGCATCTCATCGTCACCGTGAAGAACCCAGAATTAAACAAATGGGAGAATCCAGATCATTTTCCTCTCTTTTGTAACCAGGAAATCCAATTGTAACTAAGATTAAAGGAATACAAATTAATTTTCCTTCGTTTCTTTTACTGCAAATTTTCCAACAAACAAAAATCCTCAGAAGTCCACTATGGAGTGAAGTGATTTGTTTAAACCTATCATATGGTATTCAATGTACCGACCAGTGTTAAAGTGGTCTTTTTGGTAAAAGTGAAGTGACCTTCGAGCAACCTATGGTAGTGCTAGGTACATTCCATCTCCGGATTGACTTACAGTGATTTGATGCGCATTCCCATGCTACTGGGTTATAATTTTTGTAGCCTTAGTGTGACAACTGAGGAAGTTTTGCAATTGTGAATTTAGATCGATAATTACAGTTTTAAAAGTATTTAGTGTTCATTTGTATTATTTCTAAAAATTTGTGAATCTTCTTTTATGACAATGTCACATGCTATTCTTGAAAATTCCTCTTATTCGAAATATTATGTATTTCTCAATCGTTTTTTTTATGATAGCTTATTTAAATTTTAGTATTGATAAATTCAACTTGACTGGTCCGCTAATGATAAGTTTTCTACTCACTGAGTGTAAACTCACCCCGTTGTTTTTTAATCTTTTCATATGAAAATTAGATAACTTTATTTGTATCTCGGAGCTTTGGAACACGAGAATGATCTTTTAGAGTGTTCGATGTTGAAAGTTAAAGTTATAAGAGTCTTGCTACTATGCATATGTAATAAGAGCCTTTTGACTCATTAGAGTGAACTTATTATGATGTAGTATTGCTCATGAGACTTCCCTATTTGTTAATAAAGTTTCTTTTAAACTAAAATTTATTGTAATATGAAAGTGCACCGCAGGCTTAACATGTGCTTTGTGAACGTGTTGTCGTTGTTATGTATCTTAAAATAACCTGTGCATTTTTGGGGCACGACAAGTCTACTAGCATCAATAATGAACAATTGAACATATTTAACCAATTAATGTGAAAAGTTGCGGCAAGATCTATGAAGTGGTAAAATGCAAGAGAGCACTAGAAACAAGGGAAAAGATTCAAAAGGAAGCGGTAAATAACAAATAATGGAAGATAGTGGCAAAATGTAATGGCTTTAGTAAGAAAGAGCACTATCAAGGGCACTAGTTTGTTTTACGTGCTAAGTACAATCAAATGGCTTAGATTTACAATGTTACATTTGTCTTAACCCCTATCCCGGTGCGCACTTGACACAAAATATAAAGGAGTTTGTAGTTAAAATTGTTAAGGGGAAAAAATGATTTATAAGTTTTTTTTGGGACTTTTCCAAGTGTGTGAGGACATTTCTGTATTTTTTATCAAGTGTGGGGGCATTTCTATAGTGTTTTTTCTAAGTGAAGCATTTTCTTAGTTTTTTCACGTATAAGGATATTTTATTCACTTTAAAATTGTGGCTCTTACAATTAAAATGGGAGCTTCTCTTAATATATATAGTATATATGTTTAACTTTCATAGGATAAGGATGAATCACATGGTACATGCCTCAATATAGTGCATGTATTGATCAAGTGAAATAAACTAAACAAACTAATAGATATATACTTGTTACTAATTGGTTTGATGGAAATAGTGCATGACCATCACTCATTCCATAGAAAGGTTGATGAGAATCAATAATTAGTGATAAATTAATTTACAGTTGTCTTCAACTTCGGCTTCAATTGACCCGTAAAAATATTAGTCGTGCTGTTACCATTAGATCATTGGTTAAATTAATTACAGTTTCATATTAACTGTATAAAGTACACTACACGTGATGTCCCTAACATGTACCTCAAATAGTGTTTGCGATCACTTAAGCCTATCATTAGTAAAAAATCATGTATTCTAGACGGAATATTCTAGACGGAAATTTTTCTTAATTTAATTAACCTTCTCAAAAATAACAACAACGTAAATGACAAAGTACTTACTGAAGACATAAATGAGAATGGATTATGTGGAATTGACGTACTCTCAGTTGCAAGCCGTCATAAACAAAGAGGAGCATGGAATCAGTTTCTCCTCACTCTGACGTCATTATACTGAATAGTCAAATATACCCACATAAACAAAAAGGAGAATGAAATCCATTTAATTCTCATCACCCTTACTTGGTTGGATCAAAATAGTCCTAAATACTATTAGGGATGCCTTTGCATCGATCCCTCACCTTCAATTATAGGTTGAACAGATATATGCTTTACTATTTTGGACATTATTTATTACTTATTCTCTTTTAGTTTGGTTTCGGTTGTTAATAAAATATCAGCAAACAAAAGAGGAAACCAACAAAAAAAAAATGAACTGAGGAAGAAAGAAAATGACTTTCCTAAGTTGCCCTTTTATAGTAAACTTGTACGGGTGAATTGTGGTTAGTAGTACTTGGGAGCACCAAATTAAGCAAGCATCTTATACTAGCTAGATTCTCCTTTATGACATTTGTAACTATAATTGCCTTGTACTCTTGCATTACAGTTTTAACGTAATAAGTATGAATATATGTAAAGAAAGAAAAATAAAGACATGTAATACTGGACATTATTTGGAAGTTCAACTTTCTGCCTCCTACGTTTGTTTCAATGATTATAAGATTATGCATTTCATATATTTATTGATTACTAGCAAAGGAAAACAATATGATTGGTATATTGATATGGTGATGACCATGGATTTAATAAGCTTCAATGTGGGAGATCGACTATCTCACTGCTGCTCTCTCCACTATTGTTCATACATACAAGAGCATAACAGCAATCTCTGACTCTTTAACAGTGACCTGCACTATCTCATTTGACTCTCTCTCTCTCTCTCTCTCTCTCTCTCTCTCTCTCTCTCAAACTACAC